AAGAAATTTCCTATGGTCCCACTTCATCTAAGAAGGAACAACAACAAAAAAAGAAATAAATGACACCAGGTGTCTTTAGCTGCATGGCCAGTGATGGCTGAAACTAATCATGGGTCAGATCACCTGGATACACATGGAGAGAATTATCCAAAATCTGCAGGCATGGTCCAAAGATGGGGTGTGATACTGGAAAGTGAATGAACTTTTGAGTCACACAGAACTGAATTCAAATCCCAGCTATGCAGCTGATTAACTTCTGTAATCCTGTTTTATTGCTTATAAAAGAAAAAAAAAAAGTTTGGCTGGGTGTGGTGGCCCACACATGTAGTACCAGCACTTTAAGAAGCCAAGGGGACAAATCACTTGAGCCCAGTAGTTCAAGTGATTCTCCTGCCTCAGCCTCCTGAGTAGCTGGGATTACAGGCATGTGCCACCATGCCCAGCTAATTTTTGTATTTTTAGTAGAGACGGGGTTTCACCATGTTGATCAGGCTGGTCTCAAACTCCTGACTTTGCGATCCACCCACCTCGGCTTCCTAAAGTGCTGGGATTACAGGCGTAAGCCACTGCACCCGGCCCCTTCTATTTATTATACTTAAGGTTGTTTCCATTTTTCTTGACTAGATTGTACAGTGGCACAATCATGGCTCACTGCAGCCTCAACCTTCTAGGCTCAAGCTATCCTCCCACCTCAACCTCCTGAGTAGCTGGGGATACAGGTGCGTGCAACCACATTTTTTTTTTTTTTTTTTTTTTTTTTTTGAGACGGAGTTTCGCTCTTGTTACCCAGGCTGGAGTGCAATGGCGCGATCTCGGCTCACCGCAACCTCCGCCTCCTGGGCTCAGGCAATTCTCCTGCCTCAGCCTCCTGAGTAGCTGGGATTACAGGCACGCACCATCATGCCCAGCTAATTTTTTTTTTTGTATTTTTAGTAGAGACGGGGTTTCACCATGTTGACCAGGATGGTCTCGATCTCTTGACCTTGTGATCCACCCGCCTCGGCCTCCCAAAGTGCTGGGATTACAGGCTTGAGCCACCGCGCCCGGCCCGTGCAACCACATTTTTAAGTTTTTGTAGAGATGGGGGGGTCTCACTATGTTGCCTAGGCTGGTCTCAAACTCCTGGGCTCAAGTGGTTCTCCCACCTCAGCCTCCCAAAGTGCTGGGATTACATGTCTGAGCCACCACACCTGGACAACTCAATGACTAAACAATGATCATTTTCTTATTTCCCCTCAGACTTCCAAAAGCTGACTTAGCTTGGCTAGGCAGGTCCTGCTTGGGCTTTCTTGTGCTGTCACAGTCAGAGGAGCTGGGGCTTGACTTATCTTAAAGTCTTGCTCACTCACTTGTCTTGCAGCTGATGTTGGACATGAGCCAGAACACCTACATGTGGCTTCTCCCAGTGGCCTGGGCACCCTCACAACATGGTGGCTGGGTTCCAAGTCAAGTGTCCTGAGAGAAAGCCCTGTGGAAGTTGTGTCACCTTTTAGGACCTAGCCTTGGAAGTCACAGAGCATCTCATCTGTTATATTCTATCTGTTAGAAGCAAGTCACTAAGGCCCGCCCGTATTCAAGAAGGGAAAATGAATGCTACTGCTAGGAGGAAGGCCAAATAATTTGTGAACGTATTTTGGAACCACTACAGGGAGTATCTCCAGCAACACAGCAGCAGGTGTGGGTTTGTAAGTTGCAGTCCAGGGATGTTAGCAATGTCCTGATGTGTCCTGATCTCTGCACATCATCCCTTCTTCTTTCTCCAGGGTACGCCTTCTTGTTTGTTTGCCAGCCCTCCCAACATCTTTGTAACAAAATCCCTGTATTAAATTCCTTCTATTTAATATACTTAGGGTTGTTTCCATTTTCTTTTTTTTTTTTTTTTTTTTCAGACAGAGTCTCGCTCCATCACCAGGCACCAGGCTGGAGTGCAGTGGTGCAATCTCACCTCACTGCAACCTCTGCCTCACGGGTTCAAGCAATTCTCCTGCCTCAGCCTCCCGAGTAGCTGGGACTACAAGCCTGCACCACCACACCCAGCTAAGTTTTGTACTTTTACTAAAGATGATGTTTCACCATGTTGGCCAGGATGGTCTTGATTTCTTGACCTTGTGATCCGCCCATCTCGACCTCCCAAAGTGCTGGGATTATAGGCGTGAGCCACCGCACCCGGCCTCCCTTTTCTTGACTGAACTGACTGATATATGAGGAACTATCCCATGCCATCTAAACTCACCATCTGAACTGGGTAGACAGCAGAGATACTATCATGATGTGCCAAGAACCCATTTAATTCTAACACCAAATCTGACAGATGGGTATGAGAATACCTACATCATGGATATAGAAACTGAGGTTCAGAAGGGTTAAGCAACTTGACCAAGGATACAGCTGGAAAGAGTTAAGATCCAGTTCTAGGTGTGACACCAAAAGGCTCAAAGTTTATTTCTTGAGCCTTCCTTCTGGAATGAGAAGAGCTACTTCCTCCCAAAGAGTTTCACTTTCCTCAGAGGAAGTCTTACCTCTCATCCTTATATACCCCTCATCCTTATATCCCTTTTTGAAGAATCACCTTAGATTGAGGAAAAGGGACACATCTAGGGGCAGTGGAACACAAAGACACAAGTATTCATCATTTGTGAAAGTTGCAGGCTGTGTGAGAAAAGATTCTACACCAGAGTCTGGAGGCCAGAGTTCAAGCCCCAGCAATGTTACTCACATACGTTATGACCCCAGGCCTCAGGGGTCATAGCTGAAGAGTGACCCTGGTGTTCGGTGCTCCAATTAGCGTCTACTTGAAAAAGTATCTACTTTGGGAATATAAAAAGCTCTATCAGATACAATGGACAGAAGTTAAAGGAAAATAAAGCCAGATTGTAGAGGATCTTGAATAGACTGAGGAAAAATTCCTATTTTTATCCCATAAGCAGTGGAGAATCATTTTGTCACCTAGGCTAGAGTAGAGCAGCACAATCACAGATCACTGCAGCCTTGACCTCCTGGGCTCAAGAGATCCTCCCTCCCAAGTGGCTGGCACCACAGGCATGTGCCACCACATCCAACTAATTAAAAAAAAATTTTTTTTGTAGTGATGTGGTCTTGCTATGGTGCCCAGGCTGCTCCTGAATTCCTGGGCTCAAGGAACTCTCCAGCCTCAGCCTTCCAAAGTGCCGGGACTACAAGCATGAGCCACCATGCCTAGTCCATTTGGGTTCTTGAGAAAGAAACTTACACAAATAAACAAAAAGGCTTATAGAAGAAAATAATAGGCTGGGCATGGTAGCTTATGACTGTAATCCTAGTGCTTTGGAAGGCCGAGGTGGGTGTATCGCCTGAGGTCAGGAGTTTGAGACCAGCCTGGCCAACATGATGAAACCCCATTTCTACTAAAAATATAAAAAATTAGCTGGGCATGGTGGTTGGTGCCTGTAATCCCAGATACTCAGGAGGCTGAAGCAGGAGAATCGCTTGAACCCAGGAGGTGGAGGTTGCAGTGAGCCGAGATTGCACCACTGCACTCCAGCCTGGGCAACAAAAGTCTCAAAAAAAAAAGGAAAAGAAAACAATAACAAAAGCTACAATACAAAGGAACCACAGTAGCAATAAACATTTGCTCAGTGCTAGGCACAAGGTATTACCCTAAGTGTTCCACATAGGTGAGTGCACAGAACCGCACAACTGAGGGAGTCTATAGTGCCATCTCCATCTCACAGACAGTGAAACTATTCAGAGGCTCAGTAACTTGCCTGAAGTCACACAGCTGATCAGTAGTGGGGATGAGATGTAACTCAGTTTGGCTGAATCTGAAGTCTGCACTCTCACTATGGGTTGGAATGAGCTGAACCCAAAAGTAAACAAAAAGTAAGTAGACAGAGACTGTTCAAACTGCACAAGAAAGCCTATGAGTCTGTACTAGAATATTCGGCAATGGAAATACAGAGTGTGAGGTGGGACAAAGATGATTTGAAGGAAAAAAAAAGACAAGCTGAGGTTCAGCTTAAATAGATTGGTATGGCTTACGAGGTGGATGAGGTGGGAGGAGGTGGTTGCTTCCCAACAGCCCTTCCTCCTCAATTCCCATTTAAGTGTCTGCTCCTTCTCTGAAGCCTGTGGGCCAGAGGGGAGGGAAGTTACCTCTTGGGCTGGGGCTAGTGGTTCAGGCCTGAGCCTATCAGCTTAGTTTCATCCTTTGTCCACTTACTGGCTCTGAGGTGGGCATGTCACCCAACAGCATCCATGAAACCAAATAGAGGCTTACTACGGGCTGTTGGGAAGTTTTCTTGCTTTTCTAAGAGGTCATCTGAAAGGAGTCTTCTCTGTGGCTCCTACTTGTGATATGGAAGCACACAGCTCTTGAAGCTGCTGCCAGCAATCTCATGACAGAGCAAAGCCAGCTTCAGCACGATGCTAACACTGCAGAGGGCAGAGAGATGGAGAGAAACTGGGGTGAATGATTCCGTTCTTTATTGTTCAAGGCACTCTGCAGTGGGTTTCCTGTTGCCCAAACATGTCCTAACTGTCACAATAAGGCAGGCTCTGCAAGGTGTCTGTCCAGGCTCCTCACCCAAAAGTCACTGCCATACACTTTTGTGGAGAACAAAGAAAAACATAAAAAGCCTAGATCCAGGGAAATGTTGATGTGATACTTGTGAGCCCTTGCTGGAAAAAAAAAAAAGTGAACAGGATGGAGACTAGAGACATAATAAGCCAGGCAGAAAGCCAAGCTTCCCCAGCCTATAAGCTTCCTGGGCTGCTGTTCACAGCATACATGCAACTTGTCATGTCTGATTCTCATGTACCTACAGAATGCAGTCCACAGGTAAAGCTATTCTGCAGGACCCACATGGCTTTGTACATGGAGAGGATTCTTTCCTTCTAATGCTAAGCCCTCTAATATGTTTGTCCCACCTGGATAAATGATGCATACATATAACAAACCAAATATTATACAAACGAGGGTATCTTCGGATTCAAGCAATGGGTCAAAGTAACAAACACTGTTCTGTTAAAAAGAATTAAACACTTTATTCATCTATATATAACATATATAAAAGCAAACAATATCAGGACGTTTTCCTCAGCCACCCTGTCCACATTTTGTGCAGTTTTAGTGAACTATAAATCACTGACTTCTTCATGCCTAAAAGAGAAAACATGAGAGAGTAAGAAGATGGAGGCTTGTTGAGTGGATGCTCAGTTTCAGTGACATTCTGAACAGAGACTTGTCTTTGCAGGAGGGCAGTGAGAGGCCAATCGGTGGGCTCTAGGAGATCGAGGATCTGAAGGTGATTAAAGGTCACTGTGATGTAGGGGGCAAGGATTCTGATTTCGGCATTTTCTGATTTATGGGTATGGATGCCAATGGTTCCTAAGTTACTGGGATAACTGATCCTTTTGAGTTATGAACATATTGGCATCCTCTGAATTTAGTAGCTCTTTCAAAAAGGTAGGACAAGGACAAGACTCTGTATGCCACTGGGCTCCCGTTCTCTCTCCCAGGCTTAAATTCCAACCCCAGCTTACTGTCTCTTTGTCACCATGAAAACCACCTGTCTGCCTATGACAAATGCTGTTCTCATCACTTTCTGCCTCATTGACTTGGAATCCCTGTTTAGATTTCTTCTCTAGGAAGTGCCTCCCTGGACCCCCAGGGTGGCTCCACACCATCTGTGCTTATTCGACACACTGTGCAGTATATGTTGGCTAATTCACCCATGCCTCTGCCTGGACTGGGAGCTTCCTGAGGACAGGGGCCTTGTCCTATTTACCTAGGTGGCCCCGTCGCCTAGTACACGACCCAGAACACAGCAGGTGCTCTGTAAAAGCTTTTGAAATGACAGGACAAATGTGCCTCATTCAAACAGCTGGCCCCCTAGCACCCCCATCTGCTTAGTCACGAGTATGTGATGAAACTGGAGAAAGGCTCTCTGGGGGCTTAGGGGAAAGAAGTAAAATGGGATAAAATAAATGGGCGCTATTTGTCAGATCTAAGAGTATCCTATTTGTGGAAACTATTATGGACTCAATTTCCTTTGTGTTGAGGGTGAGATCACTCAGTTTGTGTTTCAGGGTGTGGCCCAAAGATATGAACAGTCTTTTTCACTGTAAGACACAAACTGATCTGTGCTATGAGAGCGGAGTGCACACCCCTGGCAGTGCACTTTGGTGAGCATGCTGACAAGGTAACAGGATTCGCTCTGGACACACCTAGCACTGGGGTTTGAGTGATGGCTTGAAAATACCTGGCCCTGTTACCTATAAACTGCCTAGTCCACTTAAAGCCTTGGAAAAGCTGACTGCAGACTGTGGCAATGGAGCAGTAAAATCATTAATGAATACTTCTAGATACTCTGGCTTGGTGTGTCTACAAGCTGACTAGTTACAAACCAACATAACCTAGTCAACAAACTCCGAGTTCCTTTCCCTGCCTCCACCCCTTTTAATTTTCTCCCTGGAGCAACCATTCTGGTAAACCTCACCCACTTGAGCACTGAGACTAGAAACTTATTACATAAGATGCTTTTTAAAATTCCAGCCAGAACCAACAAAAAGATCAAGCCGAACACAGGATAGCTGCACATGGAAAGGTTCATATAGCAACCCCAGGGCACTGAGTCACAGCCAGAGGAGGATGCATCGACCATGATAATTCCCAGGTCAACTTCAAAAAAACTTAGCTGTAGACTCCTTGGAGCTTAAACATTTAAGGTAAATACATAAACTAAAAGGGTGTCATCATGTCCATGTAGCCATTTTTTTGCTGCTAGTGCACAGAAATCTCCCTTGACTAAAACAATCTCCCTTTCATGGCTCTGCCAGTGAGATATTCTCAGAATGACTGCAGCAGGGAAACCTGTTAGAGACAGCACTAGAATTGGAGTCAAGAGACCTGGACTCTAGTTTCAGGTGGGTCACAAACTAACAGTGGTCTTTCCCTGGGCCTCAATTTCCTTATCTGTAAAATGACTGGGTTGGAATAGATTAGGCGTTTTCTAACAAGGGGTCCACAGATAAGTGTGGTGTCTGTGAACTCCCTAACACTGCAGGAAAATCTGCTGTGTGTGTGCATATGTACACTTCTGTGCAGAGTGTCCAGAGTTCAAATCAGATTTTCACAGGGATCCTGGATTTGCAAAAGGCTAAGAACCAACAGATCAGAATGAAGAGTCTTTTCTGCCTTAATATTATAATTTCAACAAAGGTGGCGAAGTTAAATTTCATGATTTTGGAATAGGCAATAATTCTCTAAACAGGAAGCAAAAAAAAAAAAAAAACTGCTAAACATACAGAAGACAAAATGGATAAAATTGGACTACATGAAATTATGAACTCTTTTCACCAAAAGACACCATTAAGAGGTGAAATGACAAGCCACAGAGTGGGGGATTTTGGCATCACATGTATCCAACAATGGAGTTGTGCTCTGACTACCAGAGGGAATTCAGTAAGAAAAACAGACAACTCAGTAGGAAGATGAGCAAAAGACTAGAATAGATACTTCACAAAAGAGCATGTTCAAGTAAACAAATGAAAAATGCTCAACTTCCTCAGTCATCAGGAAAATGTAAATTAAAAGCCCAGTATGGTACCACTAGTCACCCACCAGAGTGCCTAAAATGAAAAAGACCTATACAAGTATTCAGGGTGGTGCTGCAACAGGAAGTCTGCTAGTGCAAGTATAAATGTGGACAATTGTTTAGCAGTTTCTACTAAGGCTGAACAGTCACATGCTTTATCATCCAGGAATTCTACCCCCTAGTACATACCTGACAGAAACGCATATACACACCCACCCAAAGAGAGGTACAAAAATATTCACAGCAGCACTACTTGAATAGTTCCAAGCAGGAACAAACCAAGTATCCATCCATAGTATAAATTGTGGTATATTCACACAGCGGAATACTGCACAGAGTAGAAATGAACCACTGTTACTCCTAACAACATGATGAATCTCATTGATGTTATAAATGTTGTGAACAGGGAAAGGCACAAAAGAGGACATGCTTATACACAGTTCAAAAATGGGTAAAACAAAATTGTGGCATTGGGAGTCATGTTGTTGCTTACTCTTGGAGAAGCAATGCCTGTGACGGGCATGAGGGGCACTGGGGACTGGCAAGGCTGTATTTCTTCACCTGGGCACTAGGCCTATGAGGTGTTCCCTTGGTGAAAATTCATCAGACTTATGATTTTTGCACTTTTCTGTATATGTGGAGATATTTTCTACTATCAGAAAATTCAGAATCTTTCATTTATTCAGTCACACACAGAACAAGTATTTATTGAGCATCTGTATGAGCAAGACACTGAACTAGTTGCTAGGGATACTGGTATGGACAACAGCTATGGTCTGTGCCCTCACAGAGTCCACAATCCATATAATTCTACTTGGTCTACATTACTTGCTGCTGCTGCTGCTGCTGCTTCTTTTTTTTTTTTTTTTTTAAAGAGACAGGGTCTCACTCTGTCACCCAGGTTGGAATGCACTTGTATAATCAAAGCTCACTGGAGCCTAGACCTTCTGGGCTCAAGAGATCCTCTCGCCTCATCTTCCTGAGTGGCTGGGACTACAGGCACGTAACACCACGCCCGGCTAATTTTATTTTTGTAGAGATGAGGTCTTGCTTTGTTGCCCAGGCTGGTCTTGAACCCTTGGCCTCAAGCCATCCTCCCACCTTGGCCTCCCAAAGTGCTAGGATTACAGGTGTGAGCCAATGCACCCAGATTATACTAAGTTTACTCCTTCTACAGGAAAGGATGATGACTCAGAAATTTTGCTCACTCCTTCCCCAATGGATAAAGATGCAACATGTCTTTAGATACATCTCCTGTAGAGAGATCCTTATTTATCTAAAGCTAGTCATTATAACTTCTGGTTAGTATCTAAAGTCAGGATTTTGTTTCAGAAGCATGCAGAAAGCTATGTCACTATATGGCTCGAAAGGCTTTTCTTCTGATTTCCAGCTTGGTTCACATGATGTACAGCAAAGTTAATACGTAAGACCATGTACTTCTCATGTGATCTTGAACAGATGGGTCTACTGACAGACAAACTCTCCATGAAACAATGTGAGGCAGAAATATGGCTAGGCTGTGAAAGATTTCTACCTTTTCATAATTTTACATTTCAGACCTTTGAGATAAAATTAGTAATCCCCAAAACATTCTTCTAATTCATTTCCAACCATAGGCAGATATACCTACAAAGAAAATCTTTTCTAAGGCAAAAGTACAACTTATTTTTAAGAACTTGCAGGCTTAAGTGATAAGCAAATCGGCTTCAGAGCAGCAGTATTCTTCCAATGTAAATATATAGGTACCAACAAATGGAAGAAATGTTTCAGTTGTAAGAAACCAGAAGCAGAGGATAATGACTGATCTGTTCTACTGTGTTCCTGGAAAAGGCTGCTAAGGATCAACTGAGGCATGCCAGAAGCCTTTTGGAAACAAGACTTAACCTGTCTTGTTAATGTAGTTAAATCTTTTGAAGTTAGAGAGGTAAACAGGTATTTGTTCCCAGAGTTAATTCTGATTGACCACAAAGTCAGGTGAGAAAAAATAAGATTTAAAAACTAAACTCATCATCCTTGCCCAACCTCCCGCTCTGCTCAAGGAATGAATGGCTCTACTGCTTCCCAGGCCAAAAACCTGGGAGTTAGTTCTGACTCTTCCTTCATGTCCCATATCCCTTTAATCACCAAGACCTAGTCGTTGCCTTCTAAACACCGCGAATCTTTCCTGTCTGAACCGCAATGACCTGAGTTCAGGCTCTGTGACTCCTCAGCTGACTGGCTGCAGCCACATCTACTCGATCTCCCTAGCAGTAGTTTTACTGTCCTTCCATTTGATCTCTATACTCCAGCTACAGTACTCTTTCTGCAGTCCTACAGTGACTTCCCTGCACCCTCAAAAGAAACCCTGAACTGCTTAACACGGCTTTTAAAGTCTTTGTCTGGCCCCTGCTTATCTCTCCACCCGATCACTAAACTCCCCCATTTCTTGCCTATCTATTCCCATACCAGAGTATTCAGTTTCACTTCTCTCCACTTGGGTTAGAAATTTTATAAAAGGCTGCTGCTCAGAATATTCAGTTTGCTTAGCTGGTCTTTTGTTACCAGTTTGAGATGGGAGGTCATCTGCTGCTACCACGAAAGGAGGAACAGGCAAATTTTAGGAGGCTAAATAGTCTTTTGCTACTCCTGAGCTGACTGGCTTCAGGTGCTGATCTGATGAGAATGATGTTATTCTACTAGCAGCACAGTCTGAGGGAAATTAAAATGATTTGCTAAATAATCAACTCCCAGGCTAAAGGAAAAGAAAAACAGTGATTGGTTTTGGAAGCAATTCTCTACTCACATTTGAACATGAGTGTATGTGATGGTCAGGGATTTTTAATGAAACTAAGAAAGACAGAGTGTCAGTCAAACTGCACTGAGGACATACTGCCATGTTATCTAACATCGTTTACTAGGAAGGGCAGTCCTCCGAGCTGGTTATAGATGCCTGGCTGCCATCTTTTGTAGAAGTAGAGTGAAATTTAGCTCTACATTCATCTAAATTTATAAAGCACCTGTTGGGTAACACACTGAATGCTCTCATGTAAGCCTCAGAACATCTTGTGAGTTGGGTATTAGTATTCCCACCACCTTGCAGAAGAGAGAATAACACACCATAGCCATAGAGTGAAGAAATGATCATCAGAACCCCAAACCCTATCCTCCTTCACTAAGCTGATTCCCTGAATTTAACTGAATTGGACCTTCATATTGGCTGGCTCAGTGGAAGACCGAATCTTACTTTTTATCCCATTTATGAGTAGAAGTTTGCACAGGGGAGAGGAGTAATAGCTACAAAAGAATAAAAAATAAAACCAAATATGCTGGGGTTTTCTCATCCTACAGATGACATATGAGCTGGCTGAAAAACTGAACAGAGGCATGACTTTAGAAATTTTGGGAAGAAGGACCTAGCAAAAGTAAGGAAGAACAATAAGAACTGTGATGACAACAAAAGGACCCATAAAGAGCAAGGTGCATCTCAGCCCAAAAGCTCCTCTGGCTGATACACAACTTCAGTAAAATTTCAGGAAACAAAAATCAATGTGCAAAAATAACAAGCATTCCAATACACTAACAACAATCAAGCCAAGAGCCAAGTTAAGAACGCAATCCCGTTCACAACTGCCACAAAAAGAGTAAAATACCTAGGAATACAGCTAACCAGGGAGGTGAAAGATCTCTACAAAGAGAACTACAAAACACTGCTCAAAGAAATCAGAGATGACACAAACAAATAGAAAACTATTCCATGTTCATAGATAGGAAAAATCAATGTTGTTAAAATGGCCATACTGCCCAAAGTAATTTACAGATTAAATGCTATTCCTATTAAACTACCAATGACATTCTTCATGGAACTAGAAAAAAACTATTTTAAAATTCATATAAAACAGAAAAAGCCTGAATAGCTGAGGCAATCCTAAGCCAAAAGAACAAAGCTGGAGGCCTCATGCTACCCAACTTCAAACTGAAACTACAGGGCTACAGTAACCAAAACAGCACCGACACATAGACCAATGGAACAGAATAGAGAACCTGGAAACAAGGTTGCACACCTACAACCATCTGATCTTTGGCAAAGCAGACAATAACAAGCAATGGAGAAAGAACTCCCTATTCAATAAATGGTGCTGGGATAACTGGTTAGCCATATGCAGAAGATTAAAACTGGACCCCTTCTTTATATAATATACAAAAATTAAGTCAAGAAGGATTAAAGACTTAAATATAAAGCTATAAAAAACCTGGAAGACAACTTAGGCAATACCATTCTAGATATAAGAACGGGCAAATATTTCATGACATAGATGCCGAAAGCAATTACAACAAAAGCAAAAATTGAAAATGGGATCTAATTAAACTAAAGAGCTTCTGTACAGCAAAAGAACAAGAGAGTGAAGAACAGAGTGAACAGACAACTTACGAAATGGGAGAAAATTTTGCAAAT